ATGGCAAAAATTAAACAGGTGCATGGATCACCAATATTTGGGAAACGTGGCCAAGGCTCTCACCAACCTCGCTGTACAATCTGAATTTTGAGCTAGAGACGCCGGGGTCAGCATCCTAGAGATGCTAAACCAAATGCTGGAGCTCCAGGCACACTTGGTTTTAGAAGGCGGTACCCAACCCTGGGTGGCTTCCTTGGGGACATGTGGGCAGTGGACATCCTCAGCTCCCGGGCGTTACTGCAGCCCCGTGAAGCCCTGGAGGGTTCTCCCCGGCGTCTCTGCAGCTCGGGGGCAGCGGCGGCACAGGGTGGGCTTTCTGGAGGTGGTGGAACACCTGAGCACCCTGTTTCCAAGGGCTCTCGACTTCGCCCTTTTGCCTTCGCCAGCCGCTGAGTTCTTTCTTCTTGGTTTATTCCTGGCTTGTGCAATGTTTCAGGAAAAAAAAAAAAAGCAGCACCAACACCTGCCATGTCCCATGATTTGCACACAAGGAAATGTCACCCAGAAGAGGCACTGGGGAGTTTTTCGTTTTGGGGAAGGGGGGGGGTGATACATTGGGGGAGTTCGAAAGGGAGAAGTCAGAAGTTCTTTTGTGTCACTGTAAAAAATTAAAAATTAAAAAAAAAGATCCAACCAGAGCCGAGAAGCAGGGAGTAGGGCGGAGGCCACCTGTGATCCACCACAACATTCTCTGTCCTCGTGCGGCGGGTGGCCGTGTGACTGAGCCTCTCTAATAGTGTGTGGGCAGAAGTGAGGAGGGCCACTTCCAAAACCAAGGCTGTAAGAAGCAGCTTGCGCCTCCTCGCTACTCCCTTTCCCCCTCCACCCGGTGAATGCAGAGAAAAACAAAGCCCCCCGAGACTAATGGAGCCGTAGAAGAGGGTGGCCATATGGAGAGAGTGGGCGGGGCCAGGAACACCCGCCTTAGGCTGTCAGGAGGATGAGAACCAAACTTCCATTGCATCTGAGCCGGGGTACATTGGGGGGTCTACTTGTTACAGCAGCAGAATCCACCCTCATAGAAGCTGAGGCGCCCTGACTTCTAGGCAGATTCTCCAAGAGGATGCTGCAGCGGGAAGAAGGGAACCCTGCAAGATTCTCACTTACTCTCTGCCTAGTGAACGCCTCCTCTTGATTCGGTCTGAGTCACTTGTGGAAGCCTTTGTGGACCTGAACCAGGGCAAATCCTGCTCCCGCCGGGCTCCCGTGGCGGGGACACAGCAGCTGCGTTTTAACATCTGCCAGTGTGATTTTTTTTTTGATTACTGTTTATATCCTTGCTGTGTTTTAAAGTATGTATCTTCCAAAACTCACTGAATGATGCGCTGAAGAGACGTGCATTTGCTCGCATGTAAATTTCACCTTAAGATGATCATCAAAAAGATCTGAGTCTCGGTTCGATGATTTGCGTGCCGAGGAGTTTGGCTGTAAAGTGGACTCGGGTCTACAATTAGCTGGGAAACGCACTAGAAAGCAGGCTGAGCCCTGCCCCCCAGCAGAACACCCCGTCATCCCAGCTGCTGGGGAGGCTGAGACAGGAGGACTGCAAGTTCAAACTCAGCCTCAGCCACTCAGGAGGGTCCTAAGCAACGTGGGGAAACCCTGTCTCAAAATAAAAGAAAAATAAAAAGGGCTGGGGATGGGGCTCAGTGGTTCAGCGTCCCTGGGTTCAATCCCTGACTCCAAAAAAAGAATTAAAAAAAAAAAAATGTCGGTCGATGCAAGGATAGAGCGACACGTGATAAAGCAAACACAGTCAAATGTTAGGAGTGGACCCTGGGAGCTAGGGATCAGGCTCCTTGTGCGAGTCTTTCATTTTTTCCATACTTATTTATTTATTTATTTGTTTATTTTTGGTCAAAACAAAAGGTTGGAGGAAAAGTTCGACAAGTGTAGGGATCGTGAGCATGACGCACAAAGGCGTTTAGTTCATACACAGCCTGGTTTGGTTTTATTTTTACTTGAAATCATGTCTTTCCATGATGACAGACATAGGTGTGTGGCAGGGGACTTTACTCTTGAATGTTTTTGGTTTTTTTTTTTGTACCAGGGATTGAACTCAGGGGCACTCGACCACGGAGCCCCACCCCCAGCCCTGTTTTGTGTTTTATTTAGAGACAGGGTCTCACGGAGTGGCTCAGGGCCTCGCTTTGGCTGAGGCTGGCTCTGAATTCGCCATCCTCCTGCCTCAGCCTCCAGAGCCACTGGGATATATCCCAGGATATATATATATATTTTTTTTTAAACAGATTTAGATCAGACAAAACATTAGCCTGAGCAAATCTGAAGTCGCGGAAGACCAGCGATCTATGAGCATGAGTTAAACATCGGGGGGAGGTTGGTCAGGTCGGTGGATGGCAGGGAGAGGCGTGGAGTCGTCGGTAAGGCACAGAGGGCCGGGTTCTGCTGGGCGTCTGTTGTCCCAGGCTCTGGCTGCGGTCACTTCCCAAGGCAAACTCTGAACCCACCTGGACGGTGCACCCCGGCCCGACGGATGTCTAGCCCTAACCCGGCCTCGCTTGACAACCACAGAGGTCAGACTCCGGAAAGGTGTAGACGTGGACAAAGCCACGCGACAGCTTCAAGGCATCCCCAACAGGAGTGGAAGGATCAGACACTAAATAATCAACGAACAGTATACTTGGAGGCGCTGTCGTAAAAGTTCTAGAAAGCCTCTCTGTCCAGGTCGGCTGGAGATGCCGATGAGCCCAGGAGACTGGCCCTGACCCACCGGACAGCTCACTCCCTACTGCCCTCCCTTTGAAAGTTTGGAAGCAGGTGGCGCAGCATTGGGGATCCAGTGGCCTTCGCACGCTTCACGTTGAGTCTCTCTCGATGCACCTCGGCAGGTCGGGGTGAGATGCCCACATCATCCCCTCTCGGCCTTCACAGGTGATGGCACTGCTTGAGAGCAGGTTTTTCTGGGACAGATGTGACACCGGGGGCCTGGGGGAGGGGAGGTGGGAACCCCAAGCTCCTTCATCCAGAGGGGCACAGGACCTACCACAGGACCTTAGCACTTGCTGTTCTCTCTGCTGGACACATTCCTTCCCAGGCCAGGATCACCGCACTCCTACCTGCCTGGCCCATGTGACATGTTCAGGGCCAGCATTCAGCTCTAAAACCGCCTTCACTTACAACCGCAGGTGGCAAAGCCAGAGTCGCCCAGCTCTGTGAGTCCGAGGACCGCCGTCGTGTGTGCTGTTCTGTGTGGCCTTTGGTGACGTGGCTGTTGCTTCGTGACTGACTGGGTCTCCATGCCCAGCCTGGATCAGCACCATTAGTACCATGATAGTATGATCTCAATTAGGACGACGGTCACCATGGAAACAGATGGTCCATCCCCTGATTCCTCGCTGTCTCCAGTGACCCATCGTCCCGCGACTACCTGGCCCCCAACCCCAGTCCTCGCCACGAGGCCCCACTTGGAACTTTCATTTCCCCAGGACAATTCTCCCACCTGTATTGTTCAGTGATCAAAAACGCGGTCGCGGCACACTGACTTTGGCGCCAACGTGGACAAGAACCAGAGTGTTAGATGAGGACAGGGACACAGCAGAGTTGCAGGGAAATCAACCCAGGTTCACGCGGGTAGCGGCGGCCGTTGGGGGACGGGGGGATCACGGCCAGATGCGCTCCTGGGTGGGAACAAGGCTTCTCCACGTTTATCCTTCTCTGATGCGATTTCAACGATGAATCATTTTATATGTTTATAAAATTGTTTTTCTTTGAGCCTGGGTCTCACTACGTTGCCCGGATTAACCTCAAACTCCTGGGTTCAAATCCCGGTCCTGCTTCAGCCTCCTGAGTAGCTGGGACTGCAGGTGTCGCCACGGCAGCCAGCTTAAAACTGAATCTTCAAAAACTCCCCCAACGGCAGGGTGCCGTGGCCCATGCACAACCTGACGTCCCAGCAGCTCAGGAGGCTGAGGCAGGAGGATCTCAAGTTCAAAGCCAGCCTCAGCAACAGCGAGGCCCTAAGCAACTCAAGGAGACCCTGTCTCTAAATAAAGTACAGAATAGGGCTGGGGACAGGGCTCCGTGGCCGAGTGCCCCTGAGCTCAAGTTCGCCACCTGCTTCCCCATCCCTCCCCACCTCCAGGCTCCTCAGAGCTGCAGGGAAGCGCCGCACCGTGCTGTGGGCCAGCTCCAAGCCCCGGTTCTGTCGCCAAGAGGACCCCAGGACGGTGAGGCCACCTCACGGGGTTTCCTGACTCTGATCCCACTCCGTGCCGAGACTCTCCAAGCCTTGGGTCATGGATTCAGAGCCTTTGGTTCATCTTAGCAGAATGACCTCTTGGGCCGGGCCACAGGCAGAGAAAATGTGTGCATTCAGCGGGGTCCCCCCCCCCAGGACCTGGAAACGCGAAGGTGCCCGCCCCAGGGAAGACCCCTCCTGGAGACCTTGGATCTTAGCAAGAGGAGAAGGACAGACCCGTCAAGAAATCCCAGCATCACGGGCGATGGACGCCGTGAGAGGGACAGACAGGACGGGGACCGGACGGTGGCCCTCTCAGAAGGGAGGTCTGCGTGGAGATGTGAACCACGAGGAGGGGCCAGGCACACAGAGCCCCAGGGGAGTACGTAGCATCACAAAAGCCAGAAGCAGGCTCCTGTCCCCCTCTGTGAAATCATTGTCCTAACCCCTCTGGCTCCTGTCCTCTTGGTCTTGGTGCCAACACCTTCTGATGGCAACTACAATGCACCCAGCCCTACCCTACCACAGGACCTTTGCACGGGCTGTTCTCTCTGCTGGGCCCATTCCTTCCCAGCTCTTTGCAGGCGTGGCTGGTTCACGGTCCTCCTTCGGCTCACATCCTGATCACCTGACACAGCCTTTGGCTCATTTCTTTCACAAGACGCCTTGCCAACAGCCGGGTGGATCTGCTGACTTTCCTCCTCTTTCCCCCCAACTAGAAGGCAGGCCCCACCCCCTCCCCCCCACCAGGACCAGGTGCGCCCTGCGCAGGGGACGCAGCCACCAACGCGTCCCACTGTACCTTGCCAAAGCTGCCCTTCCCCAGCACCATCAGGAAGTTGAAGTCGGTCAGCTTCATCCGGTCCCTGTTGCCGTTGTTGTCCAATTTGGAGATGGTGTTGCTGGTCTTCTCCTCGGGGGTCTTGGTCCCCTGGCCGATCTTGGCCCTCTGCAGGGAGAAGCACACGGGACACAGGATCAGAGCCCGGGGACACCTGGTAGGAAGACGCGGGTACCTGGGCCGTGTCCTGCCGCCCACACGCCCCGACCTGTGACATGGGGGGCCACCCGCGAGCCCGACACCTGGAGGCCACCTGGGCACCTCCATCTCTCCTTGGTCCCTGGGGGTCTCGGCCGTCACCAGGAACCTTCGTGGACCCCGCTCCCTGCTGGGTCTAGATCCCCCGCTTCTCTCCCCCTCCTGGGGACCTGCGCGGGCTCCTTCCACCCTTGATGTCACACGCGGCCACAGTGAACGCCCCACCCAGCCAGGCCACCTCCTGCTCCAAACTGCCTGGTCCTGGGGTGGGGGGCGCTCTCAGGGGTGGTGGGAGCTGCGGGAGGCGGGGCCTTGCGGGAGGTCCTTAGGTCTTGGTGGGGCACATCCCCCACGGGGCTTGCAGGACCCCAGTCCCTTCCTCTTTCTTTTCGCTCCCTGGCTATGAGGCGAACGGTTTTCTCTCTCACCTTGACCCTCCCACGCACCCAAGGGGCCCAAAGCCTTGGTCTGCCCCATCTGGGAAGCTCCAACACCGTCAGCCAAGATGAACCTTTTTATACGTCAACCGCCTCAGGTGTTTCGTTACAGTGCCGGCAGCTGCCGGGTGGCTTGTCACTCCAGCCCCTTCCCTTCTGGTGCCTTCTCCCCTGTCACCCAGCTCTGCTCACTTTTCATACCCTTGACGGTTGCTGTAGTGTGGATTGTCCCCCAATCGTCCTCAGCTGGGCCCCACTGGGAGAGTCTATGAGAGATGGGGCCCAGTAGGAGGTTCTAGGTCACCGGGGGTGCACCAACAGGGGATTATGGGACACTGGCCTCTTGCTCTTTCTTTCTGCTTTCTGGCGGCCATGAAGGGAGGGCTTCCTCTGCCATGTTCTGCCACCAGGATATGACACCTCAACCCCCGCCCCCACCACACACACAAAGGCGCACTGACCTCGAATGAAACCTCTGAAACCGTGAGTCAAAATAAACCTTTCCTCCTTTTAAGTTGATTTATCTCAAGAATTTGTTACAGTAACAGAAAGCTGATGAATACAGATCCCTCATCCCTCAGGGCCTTTGCACCTGCTGCTGCTGCTGCCCTATGGATAGCTGTTGCCTTCCCTTAACCAACCAAGCTGCCCACTGCTTCCCGTTTCCACGTCCTTCTCTCCATCTGCACTAGGTCCCCCTGCCATTGGCCCCTTCCGTCCCCTTCACTTCCCATTAATACTGGACGGTAACTGCCCGATCGCTTGCTCCCCTCTAAGACCCTGGGAGCCGTGACGGCCATGGGTCTGTCTCACTCTCTGTGACCTGACAACTAGTACGGTCCCCAGCTAAATAGCTCTCCAGTGTGCGGGTGAACGAGGTCCTTGCTTGTCCCCAGGGCCGTGGGGATGTGCTTCTGGGAGGCAGAAAACCATGGAGCTCAAAGCTCGCCTCAGAACCTGACTCCAGCCTGGATCAGCCGCTGTGGGACTCTGAGCAAATGAGTGGTTCAGGTCACCCCTGCCCAAACCCCCTCCCCCGTCTTCCAATTTCTGCACCCGGCTCTCGGCCGCTCCCTTATTGCTCCCACACGGGCTTCTGGCTGACCTCTGAACACACTGAATACGTTCCTGCCCCAGAGCCTTTGCACCCACTTGCAGCACGTTCCCAGAACCGTCTCCCCTCTCCTGGGAGAGCCCCGTAAAACACGCGAAACCCTCTGGGCCCATCCCCATCCCCTTGCTTAGTTTTCTCCGTACCATCTGCTGCCACTTTCCAAACCATGGATTCACTTGTCCCTTTGCACCAGAACATGAGCTCCCCGGGGGCATGGGGTTTACTGGTTTTCTTTTCCGGTGTCTCCCTGGGGCCTGGCGCACAGCCTGGCACCTTACACGCACTCGGTGAATGAACCAGTTAGACCTCAGCCTCCTTTTCCAGAAAATGGAGATAACGACAGGAGGTTCATGAGGCCCTTTGCACGTGCCCGGCACATAGCAGACGCTCAACCAACGGCAGCTGTGACTACGGTCACGTAACTCAGTCGCCTTTCAGAGACAAAGAGGCAGCGGAAGCCTTTCTGGGGTTTGGAAGGCCATGGGAGAGGATGACACATCCAGTCCAGGCACACTGACGGAGGGGGAGCCTGCGGGGTGCTGAGGACCGATCGGGGCAAAGCAGATCCCCACACGCGCATTCTAGCCGGGTCGAGGCCCTCCACGGTGGGTCCAAAAGACAGGTCTGAGCTGGGGTCTGAGCTGGGCGCCACGGTGCATGTCTGTCATCCCAGGGGCTTGGGAGGCTGAGGCAGGAGGATCTCGAGTTCAAAGCCAGCCTCAGCACCTTAGTGAGGCCCTAAGCCACTCAGTGAGACCCCGTCTCTCAATAAAATTCAAAATAGGGCTGGGGAATGGGGCTCAGCGGTCGAGGGCCCCTGTGTTCAATCCCTGGTGCCTGCTCCTGCTGAGAAAGAGGACACTGGTGTAGACATCAGGGACAGCGCTCCTGGGTCAGAGAGCAAGACCCAGTAAGGAACTGGAGGCCGGAGCCGTGTGCCAGGCTGGAGCACCCCAGGCCGCAGACACAGGAAGGGCCTCGGGTGGACCCCGAGGGTGACCTGCAGCTGCTGAAGGCTTCCGGCAGGGCCTCGGTGCCCTCCAGTGACATGCAGAAGGTCCCCCGGGGGGGGCGGGCAGGGCTCCGCTGGAGGACAGGAGTTGGGAGACCATCAGGGACCGCAGCTTTCGGGGCGGGAAGGGACGGGCCTGAATTCGAGGGTCGTCAGTGTGGACGGAATGAAGTGGGTGCATTTGAGAAACCTCGGGGGAGGGCTGTGGGGGTGCGGGGCCCCCTGGACGGGAGCCCCGGTCCCCAGCTTGTGTCCTGAGGCAGGGGGCTCGCTGGGAAGGGCAGGCAGGAGGGTGGGAAGGCAGGACCCGTCTGAGCTGCCGAGGTCCCTCCTCCACCATCGCAGCTTAAAGACCACAAGGTTCATCTTCCCGCGTGCCACCTCCGGGGACGGTGGCCAAGGACACGGCCGTCACATCGTCTCTTTTTGTGACCGTTAGGGTTTGGAGGTGAGGGGTCCCCCAGAAGCTCACGTATGAGACGCCGTGAGACGATTCAGAGGACAGACGATGACAGGGTTGTGACAGCCTCGACCCCATCGGTGGACTCACCCCCGGTGGGACTGACGGAGGGGTGACGGGAGGCGGGGGTTGTGGCTGGGGGAGGTGGCCCTCCAGGAGGTGACCCGGGCGTGGCTCTGGGTCTATATGTGTCCCCGGCAAGTGGAGCCCCTCTCTGCTTCCCCCCCCACCCTGAGAGCTGCCTCCCTCGGTCACGCTCTCCCGCCACGATGTCCTGCCTCAGCTCGGGCCCTGGGGAGTGGCCCTGGAGCCGTGAGTCCCCAGGTCACCCCTCCTCCTCTGCAGCGGCGCTGGCCGCGTCCTCTAGTCCCCGCAGCGCAAAAGCGGACTAAAATGAAGAGGGGCCTTCTAAAAGCCGACGTGTGAGTTCTGGCCACTCACCCCCCAAACGAGACCCGGGGGGGTCTCCATCCCTCGCCGAGTGGTCCCCAAAGATGCCCCCTTCCCATCTACCAAGGCCCTTGTCTGCTGATTTCTGTCCCCCGCCCGTGGTCAGCTCTGGTGGCTCTTGAATCTCGTCTAAATGGAACCAACGAGGCTGGACGTGCTCACGGCTGGCTCCTTGCACTTGGCAAAGGGCTCTGGACGTCCGCCCACCTGGATGCCTGCACCCGGGCCCTGCCTCGCTGCAGGGCCGTCGCCACCCAAGGTGGAGGGTTTTGTCCTGCTGCTGAGGGGCTCCCAGGAAGACCCCTGCGAACACACTTGATCGATGACTTCGTAGTAAGACCGTGTTGACGCTGCAGTGTCCCGGGGATGCCGAGGGTGAATCATCAGTAGCCGCTGGACTGCTGGGTCTCGGGTTAAGAAAGGGGAGCTACACCCGGGCGCGGTGGCGCACGCCTGCAATCCCAGCGGCTCAGGAGGCTGAGGCAGGAGGATCGCGAGTGCAAATCCAGCCTCAGCCATGGTGAGGCCCTAAGCCACTCAGGGAGACCCCGTCTCTAAATAAAATCCAAAATAGGGCTGGGGATGGGGCTCAGGGGTCGAGGGCCTCTGAGTTCAGTCCCCAGTATCCATCCCCCCCGCAACAAAAAAGGTAGGTGAACTGCAGACAGGGATGCAGGGGTAACAGGCAAAGAGGAGGCCATTAGAACCAGGGCATCACCTGATGTGCAAGGAGATGGTATAAAAGAAAAACACCCAGGGAAGAAGCTGCGTGGAGGGACCATGTCCTCGCAGCACCCCAACTCCTCCCTGTCCAGACCCCAGGGTTTTGCCCAGTCTGGCTGGACCCTAACGCGTTCCCTCCCCCTGCCCCTCCCACGGCCTCGTTGGCTCCTGTCCCCCACCTTCCAGCCCTGACTTAGGACCCTCAGATCCGCCCGCTAGGTTCCCCGGCCTGGGGAGACCCCAGCCCTGCCCGCCCCGGGTTCCCAGATCCGTCCCTCTCTTTAGTGTGATCCCGTCCACCCGAGGTCCCAGGGCCCGTCCACCCGAGGGGTTTAGCTGGGCTCTGCTCTGCTTGGTGGGGGGTGGGAGTACCAGCGCCTCCTCCTGGAGGCCCCCGAGTTCCCGTCTCTGCCCTGAACCAGCCCTGCCAGCCCCCTTCCCTCTCGCCATCCGGGTCTCTCTCCTGACCCTGCTCAGGGCTCGTGCTTGGTCTGGACAAAGGCTTCTGTGCTGGACGATGTGACAGGAGGGGGGACCCCGACCAGTGGGTCCTGGGGGAAGGTGGTAGGTGGCCGGGGTGCTGCCCCCCGAAGGCCGTGATGCTGGTCTCGTGGAGTTGGTCCCCTCAACAGCAGGTCGCCACCAGGAAAGCCACCCCGTGTGCCTGACCCCTGCTGCATTCACCCAGGTCCCTTGTCCCCTTTCTGTTTCTCCACCACGTTGTGACCCAGGCAAGGCGGCACTCCTTAGAGACCAGACGGATGGCACTGTCTGAGGTCGGACTTTCAGCCTCCAAAATGGGAAGCCCAGACGCCCTCTTTGCTTCCTGAAGCATGTGGCCTCGGGCATTTTGTTACAGCAACAGAAGATGAAGGCACCCGGCACGTCACTGTGACTTCTGGAATCCAGGTCAGAAGCCTAACAGTGCCGCTGGTCTGTTCTGCTCAGCGTTGGCTCTTGTTGTAATATTTAAATCAGATGCCAACTGTTGAAAGGCAGGAGATGTCTTAGAAAAACCAGTTTCTGGGCTTCTTTGGGAACAGTGGATCCGGCTGGAGTAGCCTTTCCCGTCTCTTGGAATCCACCGGGCTCCTGAAACATCTGGGCTTGTGACCCCCACGCAGTGAGCTTCAGGAGAACAAGAACTTGTCACGCGTCCTTCTAAGCATCCCGCGGTCCCAAACAGCCTTGTGTCTAGCAGACGCTCTATCAAAGAGGGGGCTCTGCAGAACTGAGCCCGAGTGAAAGCCGTCCTTGCTCCTGGTGGCCAGGCGAGCCCTTCAGACACAGGAGTCCCCCGGGGTGGCCTTTCAGGTCCCTAACGGAGAGCCCCAGAACTCGGTGCTCAGAGAGGAAGCAGATGAAGAGCACTTCTGAGCAGACGGCCTTGCTGCTTCCAGAAAGTTCCAGGGGGCAACCAAGGACCCTCAGCGGCCAGGCGCCTGGGCTCTGATGGAGACCATCCAGTTCCTACAGAAAGCGACCCCAGGTCTCCCTGCTGCGGCGCAGCAGCAGAGGCAAAGACCCCTGTGTGCTGGGAGTCCCTAGAGATTGTCCCCACCCCAAACAGAACCACCTTCTGAGCTGTATCTATTCGGACGCGGGAAGCCGACCACCCTCGGCACCTGGTACCTCTAAACCCGTGAGTCCATGGAGCCCTCCAAAACCTCAGGAGTAAGAGGTGTTGCAATTCCCCACTTCACAGATGGCCAGTCAGAAGCTCAGAGAGGTGAAGCAACTCGCCTCCGGTCACCCAGCAAGGAAGAGGCAGAAGTGGGATTTGAATCCAAGCAGCCCGCGCAGAACCACCGGGCTCTGCTGCCCAGATGATGCGGCCACGGGGGGTCCCCCCTGCCGAGACCCTCCAGCTGCCTCCTCCCCACAGCTGGGGCTGCTCTCTGCCAACACCTGTCACTCTCTGCCCAGGGGCGCATCCTCTGGCTGCAGATGGGAGCACAGCCCGCAAGGAGGGCGCGTGGAAAGCGCTGGCGCCTGGACTGTCCTGGAGGCGGCTCAGAACAGAGCTGGGCCTGATCCCTGGGATCCTGGATTGGGAAACCCAAGCACCCGTTCTGGGCGGGATTTGACTCCGAGAGCCCACAGCGGTGACGGTGACGCTGGCTGACACAGGGGGCCCTGGGTCTCAGCCGTTGCGCCTCCGTGGATCCGACCTTCTGCAGATCCAAACTACCCAGAAAAAAATGAAAAAATCATCTCCATCTTAAACACGTGCCGACGCTTCCCCTCGCCGCCGTCCCCCAACCACTCCAGGCCGGGCAAGTGGGCGGGCGTGCCCAGAGGTAGTGACCCGGAAAGGGTGTTCCCGGAAGGTTCTAGAACTTCCCTGACACTTGGCGTTTGCTTATCTCCTTCTCTTGTCCCTTCCTCGTCCTCCTTAGAAGAAGCGCTTCCGGGGATCAAGTCCCAAATAAACCACTGGCATCGGAATCCTCACTGTGGTCTGCTTCAGGGGGAAACTCAGACCCGGGGACCATGACCAGTTTGGGGACCTTGGAAAACGACTACCCTGAACCTCAGTTTCCTTTTCTGCAGAAGAAAAACAGGACTGATGATAACAGCACCTGTCTGTCGCTCGGGGTCGTCGAGGAGGGGAGTTAAGACGAGTTCCTATCTGTAAAGCACTCGGCATAAGGAACGGCACATAATAAGCGCTCAGTTAAATTTTTTAAAAAATCCAAAGCTGTCAGAAATCCCCATTTGGAAACTCCCCCCAGGAGTCTCCGCCCTCCCTGGCCCCTTCGGCAAGGCCACGGTCAGGTACCGCAGGCCTCCCAGAGCCAGGTCTGCCATTCCCAAATACAGCACCTGATGAGGTGTGACCCACACCAGGCCCACCCTACCGTGACTCCATTACCCCGATCCCAGCAGGTCCATTTCACCGCCCCTCGGAATTCCTGCAGATAAGAGGCTTGAGAGTAATTTCTGAGTCCTTCTGGGTGCTCATTGGTTACTGCGCAGGGATTACATCTCTCACGTTCAAGGTCAACTGAAATCCCTCTGCGTGCCTGAAACACTCTTTTTGTTTGTTTTTAATCAACAACTACGGGACGGAGCGATTATCATTCAGGCATAAACAAGCGTCCGCAGGCTCTTGCTTAGGAAGAAAGGGACATATTTTTGCAGCATGCAGATAAAATAGCGCCTCACTTCAAGCCAATTACTGGCCCAGACGAAGGCTCTATTTGTGTAGAGAATGTTTTCCGCGGTGGAACGTCACCCCAGCGGCCCCAGGACAGAGGAAATCATTTTGCAGAACGGAGACTTCATTTTATACAAGAAAACAAGCAGCCTGGGTTTTTGTTGGGTTTTTGTTTTTGGGAAGATGCTTTTATGAATCCGTCTGGCTTTGAGCAGGTTCCACGGAAATGACCTTCAGAGATCAAGGTCACTGGAGAAGGACCGATAAGCCCAAGGTTAAGCCTGTTTATTTCGCTTCGTTTTCAGGAAAGGAGACCCCACTCCATTCAGAACCAACGCCATCATCAGAGCCACTTGGAGGGCACAGCTCAAGACCAGGGACCCAGAGATACTCACATGTTACTTCTGTCAAGTTGAAAAAAAAAAATCAACGTGATTCTTGGGATGAAACCCAGAATCCTTGCCAAGGCCGGGTCAGTCCTGCGAGTCGGTGCCCACACACTTCCTCGGCATGACCTTGGACGCACCCACCCTTGACTAGCTCTGCGCTGCTCCCACTAGCCTTCATTCATCCTCACATAGTTTCTCTGAAATACCCCACCACAGGACCTTTGCGCATGCTGTTCTCTCTGCACAGAATGCTCCTTCCCCTCTCTTTACTTGGTTAACTTCCATTTCGGTTTCTCTCGGACACTTCCCCCTGTCTTCTCAGACAAGGCTGTACTCCTTTTGTGTTCTCAAAATACCTGGACGCTTTCCCACGGAACTTTACCTGGCCATACTTTTTCAATTATCTCCTTCTTTTCTTTCCCCTTCCTTCCTTCCTTCCTTCTTACAATAGTTGGGATGAAACCCAAAGATGCTTTACCGATGAGTCATACCCCAGCCCCTTCTATATTTTAAGACAGGGTCCCTACTAAGTTGCGGAGGCTGCCCTCAAACGGGTGATCCTCCTGCGTCATGGGGATCCCAGGCGGGTACCACCACATCCAACTAACTTCTCAATTTTCTTGAGTGACTATTTAATAAATAACAATCATTCACTGCATTTTAGATCTGCCCTTTTATACATTTTTCCGGAATTAGCAGGTCATCGTGGTTTATCCGAAATTGATGGTTTCCCAAAAGATTCTGTGCATTAAATTCATATGCTCAATTTCTGTGTTTTCCCTGTGGAACTATCGTATATAGACTCAAACCCATCTTCCCCAAAACATTTTCTTTTCTTTTTCTTTTTCTTTCTTTTTGTACTGGGGATTGAACTCAGGGGCATTCGACCACGGAGCCCCCTCCCCAGCCCTATTCTGTATTTTATTTAGAGACAGGGTCTCCCTGAGCTGCTCAGCGCCTCCCTTTGGCTGAGGCTGGCCTTGAACTCACGATCCTCCTGCCTCAGCCTCCTGAGCTGCTGGGATGACAGGTGAGCGCCACGGTGCCGGGCTTCAGAACATCTTCTTTTAAAACTGGGATGTGTCCTGCACACGCTGCTCCTAACTAACAACGGGGTTCGCGGGTCCCCAGGGAATGAAGGGGCTTCTCTGAGGTCGGAGCAGAGCAGCTGTGTAGCCCGCGGTCAGGGTCAAGGGGCATCTCCTGAGGTCCCCGGTCCCATGCACCCTCCTGTCCAGCACCGTCCCGACGATGGATTCAGGTCCAGATCCCCCCGTCCACCAGCCTCGTTGGCCTGGCCTCCGAAATACATCCCCACTCTGTCCCCTCTTCCCACGCAGTTCGTCCCAATCACCCTCAAAATAACCCGGGAAGCGAATGAGCCCACGACGAGGACATGTCTCATCCGAACGAGGACGACACTGCCCCGGGGTCTTGAAGTCGGCCCAGAGTTCTCTGGGAACGGACTGCAAAGGCTGAGTCCTGACGGGTCTTGCTACGGACCCCACCAAGGGCGGGAAATGGCGCATGGCAGAGAGCAAGGAGCCTCACCTCGAACTTCTGGCGCAGCTCTTCATTGCCCTCGCTGCCCTCGGGCGGCACAGGCACGTTGAAGTACTCGCCCTCCTCCTGGCTCAGCAGCTTGAACCTAGAGGGAGACAAGGGTCAGGTGAGAGTCCCCGACGTGCTGTCTGGCGCTGTTTCGTGGAGTGGCCCTGAGAAGGGGGCCCATAGAAAGCTCTCCTTAGGAAAACCACCACGAGCCAGGCGCACGCCTGTCATCCCGGCGGCTCGGGAGGCCGAGGCAGGAGGATCGCGAGTTCAAAACCAGCCTCGGCAAAAGGGAGGCCCTAAGCAACCCAGTGAGACCCTGTCTCTAAATAAAATGCAAACTAGGGCTGGGGACGGGGCTCAGGGGTCGAGTGCCCCTGAGTTCAATCCCTGGTACAATAGCAGTCTTTCGTTTTGTTGGGTTTGGGGTTTGGGTCTCGTGTGTGTGTGTGTGTGTGTGTGTGTGTGTGTGTGTGTGTGTGAGAGTTTGTAGCTAAGGACACCATATATTTTTGTAAGTACAAGTTGTACATCCCTAATCCAAAAACTCAAAATCTCAAACGCTCCAACATTCAAACCTGGTTGGATCACCGACATGATAATGTACGTGGAAAAATTCCACAACTGTGACACTTCACCTCATGCACAAATTCACTAAAAATGGTGGTGCACGCAGTTAGTTCCCTGCCACCTATGTGTGCAAGGTGTATGTGGAATACTGAGTCTGAGTCCCTTCCCCAAGATGTGTCATTATGAATGTGCAAACGGTCCAAAATCAGAGTCCAGAGTCCAAAACACTTCTGGTCCCACCCCACTCATGGGGACACTTGACCTGTATTCCCCGGACATCAAGGGGGAAAAGGTACATCCTGTGTTTATAGAGGACACGAAGTTCTCTCTGCACACACCACACACACACACACACACACACACACACACTCACACACACACTCACACGCGCGTGCACACTCATGCACACACACACACACAGTCACACACACACTCACACTCACGCACTTTCTTAGTCCCATGGTTCAATTATCATTATGATTTCTGTCCTCTAGGTACATTCTGATTTCAGGTTGGGCCATGGCAATCCCCGCTGTGCAGTGTCCCCCTCGTCCTCGCCAGTGTTTCTGTCCCGTCCACTTTATGTGGGCTGCCATCTCGCACCTGGCCGTGGGTGGCTGCTCTCGGGTGACCGGGGACTTCCCAGCGCTCCTCTTCTTTGCAGAAACCTGCCCAAAGTGCTCTGCAGAAACCTTGTCCCTCTAAGGCCCTGGTGTCAAAGGCGCCCCGTCCACCCACCTCCGTCCTTGCCTCCTTGGGTGGCCTAGGCACGTGGCTGGGCTCTGGGCCTTGGCCTTTCACATCTACAAGGTGGAACCAGGTCCCCTTCTGCAGACGCGTGATTGACAGCTGATGACGCACGGAAAGCGCCCAGCCAGACAGGTGACCTGCCGGGTGTTCAGCAGTAGATGGACGGATAAAGGAAATGGGGTCTAGGTACTCAATGGAATATTACTCAGCTTTAAAGAAGAGTGAAAATATGGCATTTGCCAGTAAATGGTTGGAGTTGGAGAACATCGTGCTAAACAAAGTAAGTCAATCCCACAAAACCAAAGGCTGAATGTTTTCTCTAATATGCGGATGCTGATTCCCAATAAGAGGGGGGGCACTAGGGAAGAATAGCGTTACCTTAGATTAGGTAGAGGGAAGTGATGGGAGGGGAGGGGAGGGGATGTGGGGACAGGAAGGATAGTAGAAGGAAACAGATATTATTACTGTACGTATATATGTGACTGCATGACCAATAGGATTCTGCAACATGTGCACTCAGAAAAATGAGAAATTATACTCCATCTATGTGTGATATATAAAGTGCATAAACACATTCTACTGTCATGTGTAACTAATTAAAACAAATAAAAAATGTTTAAAAAGAAAGTAGCTATTTTTAAACAAGAGATAGATCAAGGCAAACCAATGTTACTCAAGTTCCGGGATACGGTATCATTCACCCAAAGCCCTGAGCCTAATACCTGCCCCCACCATTTTAACATGGGGCCTCAGCAAAGAGCCAAGTGTCAAAGAGGGCTGGGGACACAGTGCAATGCTCGGGGGCCTTCTCTTCCCAGTCAGGTGAAGGACAGAAGGGGCACAGGCAGAAGGAGAGATTTCTGGGGTACCATCCACTCCAACCCTGTACTAGCCAAAGTCTCGCACCCTGGAAAACACAGATGGAGGGGGATTGGCCAGCTGTCATTGGTAAAGGGACCCCAAGAGACCCCAACCAATATCCCTAGGTCAGACCACCAGGCAGTGGATGAGGGTCTCCATTGCCACCCCTGCTCAGCAGGTGCCACGGGGTATCAGCACCTGGAGCCTGAAGTGTGTGCCTCTGGCTACAGCACAGCAGGAGGGAATGCAGAGTAACTGAGCTCTTACAAGCTCCAAATAAGGCTACTGCACCATGAGGAGAGAAGAACAGCGCTCTCTCCAGCTCCAAGACACTCAGGACCAACGTGGGGAAGATGTGGGGCTGCTCGTTACCCAGCTCTCTCTAGCTGTAGCCCACTCTCCAATGCACCCGGGGAACAGGACACCCCATAGGACAAAAACGGATTTCCCCAAACAGCAAGACTCCTGTGGCCTTTCACCCCGATCAGAAAGGTCAGGACAGGGACAGGCGTCATTTCTGTACTTTTCCTGCTATAAGGACGGGTCAATAGAGAAAGGGCACAGGGCACAGGGAAAACTCCAGTCATTCAAACAGAAAGAAGCCACGAGGAATCCCACCAGGACCTCCTGTGAAAGAGACTTCTGTCCCAGGAAGTTCTGCTAAACGTGTAACTCCTATCCTCAGAGAGATTCCTGTGTCTATGAAAAGGGGAAAGTCTGAAATTTGGAAAGTTCACTTGCAGAAGAAAAATCTCAGTCACTGGATTGAAAAACCAGACAATGAACCAAGGATGGAGAACTCAGATAACAATTGGTGGACAGAAGACAAACTTGAGAGATTTTCCTGGTGGATCATGTTAGAGTTAATCCAGATGCTCTCTGTTCAACTTAAAAAAAAGTGCATATTACCCAAATTAATTCGCAACATGAGAAGGAAGAATGTTTGCAACATAAATGTCAGCAAAGACAATATTAACAACTTTCTTATAAAAAAACGTTCTTATAAAATCAAAAAGAAGAGGCAAAAGATAAGACATAATCATTTACCGATACAAGTGAGTGGCGATAATCAAATGAAAATGCTCAGCACAATTAATAATTAAAATGCGTATCATCTTTGTACCTGGTGTTTGAAATTTAGAATAGCAGATGCTGACAGGTGTGAGTAAAATAAAAAAAATTAAACATTATTCAGATATAAGGTGATTTTTTAAAAAAAAATGTAGGCTGGGTTGGCAGATATCCTCAAAGCCGTCAATCCCAGACCAAGAGATTTATTCAGAAATAATGAAAGGTATGCACACAAAGATTTCATCACAAGTGTGTTTACTGCAGAACTGTTGTTGAAAATAAGCCTTGTATGCCTTATAATAAGAATATGGTGATATAATGAGGCAGATCCACAGAATGCATGGCATGAAGCTATTAAAACTTATGTTGCCCAAGATTATTAAACGGCAGAGGAAAAGTTTCAGTGCAGATCATTAGGAGAAGATTGAAGGCTACCAGATAGTGTTGCTACAAAACTTCACTTTTGTTTCCTACACACACACTTATACACTCACACTCACACTCTAAAGAGTATCATTGCCACTATCTCTGGGCAATGGCATTCTGGATAATACATTTTGTTTGCTTATTTATATTTTTTCCAATACTTGTTCAATTGGTAATAAAAATGACTGACACTTACTGAGTGCCCACTCTTTACCAGACACCGGGCACCTCACTTATATTACTAATTTAACATCTCCAGGATTCCGTGAACACAATCATCACTATTATCTCCAAAGGAGAAAAGGGGGCCCAGAGAGGCTCAGCAACCCGCCCAGGGCACACAGCTACGAAATGATGGATCAGAAATTCTAGCCCAAGAAGTCGGATCCCAAAGCTTTAATATGATTACTTGTAACTGGAGAAAGAAGTCATTATTAGAAATAATAAAATGAAGTTTCAAGAAACAGCATTTTAAAGTAACAAGGATTTAAGAGAAGAGTTCTGATCAGAAGGGGAGGAAAACAGAGAATGAAAAAGGAAAGAAAAACAATCTTTGGAAACATAGCGGCAGCAGCCAGACCAGACCAGAGGGTGGACACTTTGCTATTAGAAAGGACTTTTGGGTTCCGCTACTTTATTTTAAAAATTTTTTATAAACATCCTACAATGTGCCACTTGTTACACATGATCAAAGGAATCAGAAAGCATGAAAAATTTGGAAAAATCTAGGCAAAAGGACCTGCCCCTCCCCTGCCCGGTGCCACACAGTGGACACTCAGAGAGGACACAGATGTCGTTAGCCCCGGGGCTCCCCATCCATCAGGGTCTGGATCTGCATGTGGATTCCTCTGTGCTGCAGAATGGCTGCTGGGAGGCCAGACCTCGTGGGAGGGAGGCACTGGGGTGCGCCCTGGGGATTGGACTGTCCCTGGCCCTTCTTCCTGGCTCGCTCTGCCCCTCTCTGCTTCTCAGCTGCCTTCAGTTGAGCTGCTTCTCTCCACCATGTCCTCCGGCCCCGGTGTCTTGGAGCCAGCCAACCATGGACTGTACCTCCGAAACCACAGGCCAGATACAATCTTTCCTCCTCTAAGTTGTTCTTGATCAGAGCCATGAAAAGCTGACTAACCCATCATCTGACTCACAGCAGACGACAAAGCCCTTGCAAAGCCCCCTGCGGTATGACCATCCCACACCCTGTCCTCTACTCCTGTCCTGCCCCCTCGCTGTTCCTCAAACTCTCCAGGCACACTCCTGCCCCAGGGCCTTGGCACTTGCTGTTCTGTCTAGACAGTCTCTCCCTGGATGTCTACACGGCTGGCTCCCCCACTCCCTTGGGGTCTTTGCTAAATGTCCTCTTTTCTGTGAGTCCTTTCCAAGAAAACTTTGTGTCAATATAATAAGTCTTGAGGAGTTAGGTGG